TTTCCAATGTGGCCTTGAACTCACAGAGATCCCAGATGGATTTCTGCCTCTGGAATGCTAGGATTAAAGGCATGTGCTATCGCTGCCTAACTAGTGTCTTTTCTGTTCTCTGACCCCAGATAAGTTTATTAAGGTACACAATATTTTGGGGAACACAATACCACCATAGTCATGTGAGTCAAAGTCAGCTTCTCCGAGCCTTTTCCTTGGCCACTTACCCATATCTATGGCTTAGACTTAGCCCCCTAAAGAAGTGGGTGTCTGTCTCTCCTATGCTCCTAAATGTCTTCTTCCTGATGGCCCAAGTGGGTGATGGAGTTTGTGGACTTGACTTGAAACCTCAGTGAGGGGCCTCAGTGAGCACTAGCTGGAAGAATTTCCACTCCAGTGGCCAGGCTTCTGTTGTATTGATGTGGTTCATACCTACTTTGTGTGGTTTGATGAGAATTCACTGAAGATTTACTGATTTAGCATAGGAAGTATTCAGTAAATGTTGGCAGTAGCCTGTGAGACATCAACAACATGCTATGATTCCATCCCTCAGGAAACACATGTAGAGAAGGATGAGGACCCCATTAGAATCACCCTTGTGATGAGCTGTAGTGATCCTTGGGAGTTCATTGTGTCCCTTGGTTGTATTGGAATAGAAAGATTGTAGTCACTGTGGGCATGTGGGTGGGTCCCACACTGTTAACACCAAATTCTCTCCTAAGAGCCAACCTGGAATAGATTCTACTTACCAGGTAGCCTGTGCCCATAGGTGGCCCATAGATAACTGGAAGCTATACATGCTTGTGACTATACTTGTAAACAACCCTTGAAAGGCTTGGGCCTCTCTTCTTTTCCTGGGTAGGAAACAGGACTAGCATGTCTTAGATACTAAAGTCAAGCCTCCTCCCAGCCAGCAGTGAGTCACAATAATTCTCATCCAAACCCCCAAATTGATACCTGACATGGAGGCCTTCAAAGTAGAACACAGACACAGGGAATACCTCTGGACTGTTTCTCTGCCACTTGGCTAGCCTGTTATAGTCTATTAACAGTTAAATCCATAATCTGTTTCTTCAACAAAGTAAGGGTTGATGGGACCACCTCCTTATTGTTGGGAGGATTCAAGATAATGCAGGTAAAGTGTTTAGCAAAGGGCTGGAGACATTGGAATTCAATTAGTGATAGCTGTTATGATATCTTGGTATTTTAATTCTTTGTGTTTGTGTGTGTGGAACTGAGGGTTAAGCGGAAGGACTCAAGTTCTAGGCAGGCATTCTGTGAGTTGTATCCCCAATATGCTTGGGCTCTAGGAAAGTGAAGGCAGGAAGATGGGAAGTTTCAAGCCAGCCTGGACTACATAACAAGATCCTCTTGGATGGTGTGTGTGTGTGTGTGTGTGTGTGTGTGTGTGTGTGTGTGTGTGTGTGTAGAAGAACAGGAGTTTTACAGAAAAGAATGGTGTCATAGGGCTTTTAAGTTAATCTAACAGCCCTGTCTACTCTGACCCATTTCTTAGAGGCAACCACTGTTGCCATGGTGTGCAGCTATTTTCTGATCTTTCCTCCAGTTCTCCTCATGGGCTCACATGCACTGTGCCCCTCCTCCCACTACTACACCAATTTGAGGCATTATCTACTGACTTTCTCTTTAATGTGGAAGCCAGCTGTCCTCCTACCTCTTGTCCATTTGTCCTCCCTCCGTTTTGCTGTTAGAGTTCTGTTGTCGAAGCACAACATGGTGAATGTTTAAACACACACCCTCACACTAGGCTAGCTGCCTATTTCCCAGCTCCCATCAATTTAGTTGTTGTGGGCTCACATCAGTGATTTAAGTTCTTTGTGTCTATATTTGCATATTGGGAGTACACTGTGACATCTTATGGAGGTGGTTGTGAAAACTGGGTTAAAGCATGTAAACATGGCGTAGAATGGCACGTGGTGTACAGTAA